TCTTGCCCCCTGGAGTGACCCTTGCATGCCATGACTCTCCATACATCAGGTACCCCACTAATTACACTTCCCCCACTATCAATCCTTGCCTTTCCGTCTGTGGTTTCTTCCATTATCCATGAGTGCCTGTTCTGTTCTGTGCACACTAACCAGAGCCTTAATCCATCAGGGATACATTACATGGGAGCCTCCAGCGCTGCTAGCAATCCCGTCCAAGTGCTCAGCTCTATAAGGAGACCACTCCTATGTTGTGTATGCAAGTGATGTTTACAGATTGTCACTACGAATCAACCAATAAAGTGACATTACTGTGGTTACATAATACCATGCTCACATTACGGAGGTGTATTCTGGGTGAGTTGAGAGTGTGTATGAGTGGGAGAATGTCAGAAAGAAAACTATGAGCAGCATTCCATCGGTCCGTTCATTCATTCATTCATGAGGGGGCTCAGCTCACCATATGTCCCTCTGACTGCTCAGCATAGTGTGTATTAGGGGTGTAAAACAGATGTATCACATTGGGTGTTTTTACTGAGATGCCAGCTACGGACTGCCGTCTGACACAGACTAAAAAGACTCCATTAGAGCAAGGCGTACATGTGTTGTAACAGTGATGACTCATCATTGTTGTTGTTTTTTACAGTTTATATTTATAGAGCTGTTGTGCTCATGGGAACGATTTAATTTAATCAAATCATATCAAATTAAATTGTAGGCAGAATGTGTGATTTGATCTAATCTTTGAAAGACTCTGAGGCAGATCAAATTGTTGTCAGTTTGAATTGTTACAACCCTTCTGTGGAGCAATAAGATCTGTATGCTGGGCAGCAAGAACGTAGCAACCACGGAACTTTTCCTGTTCGGATCTGTTCCTTTTACCAGTCTATAAGTTGGAAAAGGAGTGAAAATATATTGCTATACTTCTATTAGATACTCCATCCTCTGTCTACTTCCTGGCATTCTGCAGTGAATCAGCTGACCTGCTGCATGTAAGCTAATTGGTTGCAAATCTTCCTGTTTGCTGGTGTTTAGTCTTGTGCTGATGGTTGGAATGACCTGCAGGTGTATGTAAAACATGCTGACAGAGTCAAACGCAACTACAGAGAACCAATTAGAATATACCGTAGAGGAATACAGCCAGGAGTTATGACACATGTCACTGATAATTGGCTTTCTTTTTGTAAGCAGGATTGTCAGGACACTGGGCTCTGTTCTCAAGCCTAGGCTTGTACAAAGAGTCACTTTTAGAGGATGTAACACATCAAGTGACAGGTTTGTATGAGGAAAAGCCATTGCAGTTAACTGTAAAAGGCATGTACCTTGCTTAAGTTTTGGCACAACTGTTAAAAACAAGTTCTATAAATACATCAAATTAGGCTGTCCGTGTCAGCTTTCGTTTCTCTTTTTTTCTTGCTTTTTTTTTTTGGGGGGGGTGAAGGTCAGTCACCAAACTGGATTTACAGAAAAGCTATCTTCACACCGCAGACATGAGTTATGTGATGGCTGACATTTTGAGGGGAAGCCAATCCAAAGCACCTGAGGAAAATAAACTGAACAATGCTAACCACTGTCAGTCATAACAGGGGTGTTATGATGAAACAAGGCTACAAAACACAAGACATTAGCTCATCTGGACTATAGGTTTTCTCGAAGAACATAGGTTATGCACACACAACAACCTTTGCATAAAACACTTTACAATACCATCAGACACTGGATATGCAAACAAACTCTGACAAACAAATCTATACCAGTGAAGAAAACTAAGACCCAGAGGGTTTAAAGTCACTCATTTGAGAGTCAAAAAACAAAACACCAGCAGTCATCTTCTTATTTTTTTTTTTTTTTACTTTAAATGATTCTTCACTATCACCACACAGAAACGCCACAGTGGGATGTGTTGATGTGAGTATTCCTATTGCATCCCAGAATGCTTTTCATCTCTAAGTAGAGCCTGGTGCCTGTCTTGGGGGGTTGGGGGAGTGCTTCTCTGGTGTATGTGAGAATGCCTCTTTTCTTTTCTTTTCAGCTGCAGGTCTTTGGCTCTGTGGGCGTCAAGACGCCAGACTTACAAATCTATCATGTTAATGAGGAAGGAATATACAAAATGAGGAATGACAGCGTGAAAATAAATATAGAGATAGATTGAAATGACTATGGTTTGTTTTTAACTCGCTGAAGCCAAGTGGTATGAGTTTCAGTGCGTCTGAAGAAGCAGCAGTTATGACTGCAGGTCACAGAGAAGAAAGGGAAGCCTCTGAAATGAATAGAGGGTAGCACGGAGGCACAGACAGGCATGGCTAACAACCCTTTTCTGGTAGCTTTGCATAATGCCTCGGGCCAGAGAACAAGGGAAAGAGGGGAACCACAGTATTAGTAGAAGAGAAAGACAAATAACAGCATAAAAACAGAAAATATAAAACAAAATATACAGAAATTCTAAAACAGAGAAAGTGACAGAGGGTGGAAAGTGGCCCAATGTGGGTCAGTGTGTGGACTGAGGGAGAGTTGTACACACAGACAGAATGGACCAGTGGCTTGCTCAGCACACAGTCACACAGCTGCCCACTGACAGAATGGGGCTCTAATAGGGCCTTTTGCCTGCAACACAAAGACGTTGCAAATGTGTGCGTCTTAAGCACACACTGGAGTGCAGAGTGATCCCCTTTAAAAACCCACCGGCCTTAATTGCTCCCATAAATTATGTCTATAGTATATCCAAAACAAGTCTGCTGACTAACAATGCCAGAGCTGTTGTGGAGTACAATTGCAGTGCATCAAGTTGTGCTTCACTAAAAATGTTAAAAGCAAAAAGTGATTATCAGCAACTGTGATGAGAATGTGTCACTTCCCGTTTAGTCAGATATTGGGCAGAATATTGAAATAATTTTGAGTGAAGACCAAACTACCATTGAACGGTTGTTCAGAATATTAATGTACATATTCAGTACCCAAAATATTTCCAGATTTAAATATTATATTTTTGATAATATTGGATTGTATTTTCTTTTATTTTGTGTTATGACTATATTAAACACTAATGCACTTGCTGTTTGGCTGATTTTATTTTAAAGGTTTTGAGGGGGAAAAAATCATGTTTATATATTTGTCATATATGTATATAAAAAATATATTTTTATACAGGCACTGAAACTCAGGTATTGGCAGATTTGCAGGTTCACACAATAGTATTTGATAGATAATTTTAAAAAAGCTTGTTCACTTTCAAGCTGTAACATTCCAGCAGTGGTTTATTTTGGAAATCAGAGCAAGGTGTAATCATTATAATCTTCCCCAAAACTGGAAAGGCAGATCATAAATACGCAGAACAGGCTTCCTCTGAGCCCAACCAGTATTTGTGAGGCACCCTTATCAACAACCTCTTTGTAATTAGACACTAGAGTTGACATGTGATTAAATCTTTGCCTAGCTCTCTGCTCCACTTCCAACCTAAACTTCAGCTACACCTTGCATTGTGTGTGAGAATTTTATGAGCAGGACTCTTTGGTCAGCTGATGACAATTCATGTTAACTTAACCAAAACTCGACCGCCATCCCTGCGAGCCAAGGACAACCGCCACCATGGCGGCAGAAGAAATATTTCCTGGTATTTTCAATTAGGGTACCCCGGTACCAAACCAGTTCTTCGTGGTATTGTGTTTATGGTGTCGACAAAGATCAACTGTCATGCAATATCAGAGAGGGCAAAACATAAGCACCAACAGTTACTTCCTAACCCACAAAAGAAAGGAAACAACACTGACAAATAAGCAGTTCAGTGCTTCACTGCCACTGTGCTCCATATTCAAGAGTGTAACTGCCTTTAATTTTGGACTAAGAAGATAATAAAGTAGTTTCAAAATGATTGTGAACCCTGTCCCGTGATTAAGACATAGAGCCACCACACATTAGATATCATAAAAAGACAAATTACTTTATTCACTTGGCAATAAATATTTTCAGGCTCAGGGTGGTTGGACTATTCTGTGTGTTCTTATCAGTAACTTATCAGTTCTCAACATGGGTTTCAGTTTCATGCATATGTAATAAAATACATTTTGGATATATGACTCTCCGTCACGTAGTCATAACAATGGACTATAACAGTCTGTTTCAACTGGATTTCAAGGATGCAGCCTTATATCGTTGCTCTAAAAACTGAAACAAAATTGAGGAAGAACACATAGTTTCAGCCTCTTCAGCATAAAAATAAAAAGAAAATCACCTCCTCTGATGAACAACGTTCAGAATAGGCTTGCATTTTACAGATGACTATCTCAAGAGGAAACACAAACCTAAATGTGTGGTGGAGATTGGTAAGAGATATGCAACCAGGCCTTATGACTCAAAGCACTCAAACTGGTCTCAATCTCTTCTCAAGTTGTGGTGAGGAGACGTGTGTCCATATGAGCTGCACAGCAACACCGCCTGTACAACTACAGGTACTGAGTTTGACAACAGCCTGAGCTTTATTACCAGGGCTCATAGATAGAGGGGAGCTTGCTGGCTCAAAGAGCTTGGTCTTGGTCCACCCCCCTCTCTAAAGCAGGTTATTAAGCAGAAACCTTCAATGCCAGCAACAGGTTGGGTGAGCAAAAGCAGCAGATTTTCTCTTTCAGATCCTGAGAGACATTTGCATACTTCACAACACAGCTGATTTAGTCTAGAAATGTTGTAATAACTAAACTAGAGTCAATAATCTGACATCAACAAAGAGTGCTACATGCCAGAAGCTGCACTTTCTTGTGCCTAATCTGGTTTAAAATCAGCATAGACCGATTGACAAAATGCCATTATAATTAACGCGACAAAAAAAGACATTTCTGTTTTCTGATCTGTGCCCAAAAGTAACCCAACAATGTCATCTAACGTCTTAATCACAGAGGAAACCCAGCATGAGCAGACAAAGTAAACTTCACAGCAGTGGAAGAAGAAACATGATGATGCATGCCTGAACACAGTTACAATTGATCACGTATCGGTAACAAATGCCCTATTACCTGGCCAGCAGAGGCTCTTTCGAAGTTAGGTCATCTTCAACAAAAAGCAGAAAGGAAAAAAATGACTAAAAGTTTCTCGCAGTTGCAGCCGCCAGTTCAGCGTTACCAGCGCAGGACTGAGCAGGACTGCGAGCAGCTGAGAGCTCGCTGTTGCTTTCAGCCTGCAGCGCTGATTGTAACAATATCCGCGTACGGGAAAACCCTGTCGGGACGGGGGGGAGTCCAGAAGACGAAGGGTCGACTAACCTACTTATTTACCGACTGAAGTACCAGCTTACAGTACATATAAAACGTTAAAAGTTAATTACGTTTTAAAAACAACAAACGTATTTAGTGCTTGACGACACGCGGCTTAAAGTTGCATTTACAACAAACCTTGGCCTAACCCCCCCCCGCCCCCTCCGAGTTGGTATGTTCCGCTGCGGTCCTCCCTCAGGCATTTACGATACTCATGTGCTTCTTTGTATTACTATGCTTTTCATTGATGTTAATGAAGCTAATAGGGGTTGCCGTGTAGGTAGTACACCAAAGTTACATTCACACTCATTATCTAACTAAAAGGTGGCTACCCTGCCGTTTGGTCGTTCCCTTCTCTGTTGTACTCGGAATCAGACTAAATCAATGACCCAGACATGTATCGAAAAAGTTAAAAATAGATAATAAAAAAAAAAAAACAAGATCTTAAGATCTAACTATGGTTTGCTATGATGCAGGGAGGAGTGCTATGATGCAGGGAGGAGTGTGAACAGGTCTGAAATGCTTTGAAAGAGGAAATCTTTTCCCACTTCCATATTGGCTCTCCTGCCATGGAAAAACTCCACTGCTACATGGTGGAGTAATTCAATCAATCCACGAAAATCCTATTAGGAAACCTTCAAACGTGTTTCCAGGGAGATGGAGTGAAAAAACATAAATATTTGCAGTATCACACTTGAGAGGTTAAAATGAAAGCGTGGTATTCATGCTGGTAGGGCAGCCAGTGGGCTATGGCATCCAGTCTAAAAGCTTAAAGGTTAATATTATGAGTGGAATAAAAGTGTAGCTTCAAATATGTGCCAGCCCAAAAGCCATGAAAGTGCTGACGGAGGTTAATGTACTGTACAGCTGAGTTTAGCCCCGCAAGATCCACAGTTTTATGTTTTAGTTACTTTATGGTGGATGGTAATAAAATACTTTAAAAAGGTAGAAAGACATGGTTCCCTTGTGCTAAAAATGGGCCCTTTAAACAAGAAAGCCAGTTTGACTTCCTGCATGATTGTACAATGAGGCGAAGTATACCCAGTTTCAAAATGACAAACACACATACAACTGTGAACACACCCAAAGTCAAGAGCACATCACTCAGACATTACATCATATCACTATATTATTACAATTAAATGACTTTGTAAGCTTTTCATAAATGTTCTACGCAACTTCTCTAACAGTACAGTTTCTGAAAGATTATTTAATGAAGGAGCCACAAAACTGACCAAAAACTCTGGACTTTATTAAGGCAAACAGGATTGCGGTGTAGCTTGTTTCTTAGCAACAGCACCTGTGCAAAGGAAATTAGTGGGTTTCAGTATATAACCTATTAAAATCTAATGACACTGTGACTCAATGAAAAATACTAAAAGAGATGCCTTAGTAGATGTTTTAAAGACAGTGAGAGTGAATGTTGACAAAGCTAAAGGAGAGTTTATTCAATTGAGCTCAACGGAGGAGGTTTCACTTCATGGGAAAAATCTCTGTGAGACGTGGGCATAATATGCACATCCAGGCAGGATATCCAGAGCCTTGTAAAATTCCAGGCAGTAATTCTTGTAAAGCTTGCATGTGTTTACTCAACAGCCTGCCTCAACGTCGACAGCTCCCATTGGACCACTGGCCTGAGCATGCAATTAGGATCCAGAGTTTGGCAGTTATTAATGATGCCATTGAGGAAGGAAATGGCAGATTGGCTTCTCCTCAACAGATGCCATGGCCTCTTGTTTATTTATTATGTCTTAATCATGGTCCTCGGGACCCCAAGCTCTGCTGGTTTCCAGTTTAGCCAATTAGGTACGGACTATTTTTCACAACACGAGAGATGGATGTAATTAACTACCTGGTAAGACAGGACATCGGTTTTCAAACTGTGGGTCAGGGCCCTCAACAGGGTCCTTGCAAAGTAATTTGAGGGGCTATAAGATGATTTATGGAATAGGGGGGAAAAACTATTCAGTATAAATGATTGTGGATTTTGTCTTGAGGCCCTTTTTTAAAAAGTAATACAGAATAAAACATTTTTTTATGCATGTAAACAACCTTGAAACTGAAATATAAATAGTTATTTGGCTGCATGAACGCATTACAAATATTACAGAACAATTTCATATAAATATATTGAACATGTGCCTTTAGCACTGTGGGTGAATGTACAGACAATACAACAGAAGTTATTTATTTATTTCAAGGAACCTGTCCCACACAGTTACACTGTATACAGTATCTGCTTTTATTACACATAGCTTAAAAATATTAATACAAACATAATCAGGTCTTGTACAAAAAAAATACAAATATTCTCTGGGGTGATGTGAATCAATGTACTCGCTTGAAGATGAGTGCTGTCACACTGTTGCCTGTCTTGCCTCCAAATTGAAAATTGGGTGTAGGCAGCTCCTGTACAAACTCAAATCCTGTGAAGCAACACAGAGAACATGTCCAGGTTAAGAAATGTGCGTTATGCAAACTGCCTAAAACATTAACATGCTGTCTTAAACACAGATGCCAAGAATCATTTTCTGCCGACTATGGCTACAGAGGGGTTAGGAGAAGCACTGGGAGTCAAGAACTATCCATCCACCATCTGTGGCGCTTCCTGGGGCCTAGTAAAGACAGGCTGTCAGTGTGACAGATGAGATCTCAAGGCCCTCTGGCCCCCTGCAGGCTCTCCAAAGTGACTACACTGAGACGAGTGACAGCTACTGGAAGCTTGCCGAAATTCTGACTTTACAAGGCTGTTGTTGCCTGCAGCTTAACAACCTGCCAGGTAACTGTCGCAGTCGTGGAACTGTGTCTGTGTTTTGACTGGGGGTCAGACAACTAAACACCCAAATATAAAGATGTTACATGCCAGAGAACATAACTGTAAATCACACTGTTGCTTATATAAAGGATCAACATGTTTTGCCAGCATTATAACCCAATTACAACACTGCGCACATGCATTTAAGGTGCCATGGAGTTTTCTTGTAAACAAACGTTACGTTTAAATTTAGTGTTACTAACTAAAACAAATGTGTGTGTGTAGCTGAGTCCTAATACATGTTATGAATGGATTTCCTTCCTTATAAAACACTAGTATTTTAAATCAAGCATGGTTTACATCCATGTTTATGTCTTTGTGGTCGGATTGCAGCACATCTTGGTCAATGAAGTGTGACACATTTGGCAGCAATGTGTACACACCTGTGTGATTGTGCGAGATAAACAAAACGGGGCCCCACTCACAGAAAAACAGCTCCATAGCGCTTCTAGATGTCAAGAAAGCGTGTGATATATTGTTTGTTTTCTCCTCTTGGCAGCCGTTCACTTTATTCACTTGGTAAAATGTGGAAATCATCAAGCTGATCAACCACAGAAAGAACCACCAGAGTTCAACTGGGTGAAATGACTTCATTGTTACATATGTAATGTAGTCAAATGCACACACTTATCTAAAAAGTCTACATGTCATTGACACCACAGCAAACACTTTGTTAATATAAACCTTTGTTTGTATTAGGTTTTAATCTAGTAAGCAATTACTAAGTAGCCAACCAGTAATGTAGGACCTGTAGCCATTGCCAAACCAGGGACCCTATTTTCTCCTTATTTGCATCATAACCGATTCTGACCAAAACCTCATTGCCTATCAAACTGTCTGGCTCTTTCATACAATACGGATACTCCAAAACTCATGTGGATTTCTTCATATATATATATCATATAGCTGCACACAAGAAATGCATATATGTAATTTTCATTTTGGCCAAGACCAAAGTACTAGTAGTGACCTACTTTAAAAATATGAGTAAACCGCTGCAGGCAGCCGTAAAAAACAAACAAAACAAAAGACTAAGAAGTGCTTCAGTGCTGGCAAGGTAGAATCGGGGAAGGAATGACATGACATAATCCTAATTTCCATTTTGTCCAAAGGACGGGTTTACAGAGAATTACCTGTCTAATTTGGCAAGTTTTTAGAGACTCATTCCCTCACCTTCACTGAATCTGTCTAGCAGCTGCTCTTTTGTCCAGTTACAAGAAGTGATAGCGAAGAATCCTTTGTCTTTAAGAACATCTTTCACAGCTTGGACATAGAGCTTTTTGCCCTCCTTGGCGTTGTCTGGGGTTAAGCTTATTGCATCAAATGTTCCTTTGTCGATGCAGACATCAAAACCCTTTAGCTCCCCTTCACAGTTGAGGAAATCCACCTCCTAAAATAGAGAAAAAGTGAAGAATTAAAGAAATGTTTGTCTGACCAACTCTACAGTGAATATACAACATGGCTCCTAATGTTTAGTCTGACTATTTAGACGTAGGGTAAACTACACAGTGAACTGCAGTAGAAATCTTTCAGCATCAACCAAGATGAAATGTGTTATACCTCATTGGTAAACTTTAAAACTAAATTCAACTGCTGCCATGACAGCAGTTAATTCTGCTGAGGTTCCTAGCCTCACCATACCACCAGTGAAAGGAGCCCTTTATCTGGACAGAGGGCAGAACACCAGGTCTCTGGGGAGAGTTCAAGAGCCACATACTCACAGACCCTGGGTCACAAAATACATTAACACTGATTCACTGGAGACAGAGATGTCTATACATTGTTGCAACTTAAATGAGTTCAATTTGAGTGGGAGCCTGCAAAATGGAAAACTGGGAAGATGTTGAAGGAATGTATCAAGGTGACGTGTCAAAGCAACAGTAGACAGTGAATAATGCACATGGAGCCAGGGCTTGACATAGATTTGAAACAAAGAATGACCTTTGAGGTAAGAAGAAGCTTTTTTTTTTTTTATCTGGAGCTGAAACTCCTCTCACTCCCCCAGACTCCATTCAAGCATGCACATGCACACAAATAATGAGCACAGTTGACAGTTTATTATTTTGGAATTCTGCAATATTGAAGAAATTCACAAGATGCCAACATACCATTTTTCT